GGTAAAATGGCAGCTGGTACCAATTTCTTCATGAAAAAAAAAACCAACATTTTCAAACAATAGAAAAGAGAGAATCCCCCTAACTCATTTTATGAGACCAACATCATCCTGATACCAAAACCTGGCAGAGACACAACTAAAAGAGAAAATTTCAGGCCAATATCCCTGATGAACATCGATGCAAAAATCCTCAAAATACTGGCAAACCAAATCCACAGCACATCAAAAAACTTATCCATCACAATCAAGTCAGCTTCATCCCTGGGATTCAAGGCTGGTTCAACATAGGCAAATCAATAAACATAATCCATCACATAAACAGAACCAAAGACAAAAACCACATAATTGATGCAGAGAAGGCCTTCGACAAAATTCAATAGCTCTTTAGGCTAAAAACTTTCAATAAGTATTGATAGAACATATCTCAAAATAATAAGAGCTATTTCTCACAAGCCCACAGCCAATACCATACTGAATGGGGGAAGACTGGAAGCATTCCTTTTGAAAACTGACACAAGACAAGGATGACCTCTCTCACCACTTCTTTCAACATTGTATTGGAAGTTCTGGCCAGGGCAATTAGGCAAGAAAAAGACTTAAAGTGTATTCAATTAGGAAAGAGGAAGTCGAATTGTCTCTATTTGCAGAATACATGATTGTATATGTAGAAGACCACATCACCTTAGCCCAAAATCTCCTTAAGCTGATAAGCAACTTCCAGCAAAGTCTCAGGATACAAAATCAATGTGCAAAAATCACAAGCATTCCTATACACCACATCACATAAAGAGAGAGCAAATGATGAGTGAATTCCCATTCACAATTGCTGCAAAGAGGATAAAATACCTAGAACACAACTAACAGGGGATGTGAAGGACATCTTCAAGGAGAACTACAAGCCACCGCTCAATGAAATAAGAGAGGACACAAACAGATGGAAAAACACTCCATGCTCATGGTTAGGAAGAATCAATATTGTGAAAATGGCCATGCTGCTGCCCAAAGTAATTTATACTTTCAATGCTATCCCCATCAAACTACCATTGACTTTCTTCACAGAATTAGTACACAGATAAACAAACCAACCCCTAAATATTGTATAGAACCAAAAAAAGGGCATGCATAGCCAAGACAATCTTAAGTGGGATGGGAGCGGGGGGAAAGCTGGAGGCATCAGGCATCAGGCTACCTGACTTAAAACTGCACTACAAGGCTATAGTAATCAAAACAACATGTTCCTGGTACCAAAACAGCGATATAGCCGATGGAACAGAACAGAGGCCTCAGAAGTAACACCACACATCTACAACCATCTGATCTTTGACAAACTTTACAAAAACAAGAAATGGGGAAAGGATTCCCTATTTATAAATGATGTTGATAAAACTGGCTAGCCATATGCAGAAGGCTGAAACTGGATTCCTACCTTACACCTCATACAAAACTAACACCAAATGATTAAAGATTTAAACATAAGACCTAACATCATAAAAACCCTAGAAGAAAACCTAGGGAATACCATTCAGGACATAGGCATGGGCAAGGACTTGATGACTAAAACAACAAAGCAATGACAACAAAACCCAAGATAGATGAATGGGGTCTGATTAAACTAAAGAGCTTCTGCACAGCAAAAGAAACTACCAACACAGTGAACTGACAACCAACAGAATAGGAAAAATTTTTGCACTCTATCCATTCTACAAATGGCTCATATCCAGAATCTACAAAGAACTTAAACAAATTTACAAGAAAAAAAAACCCATCAAAAAGTAAGTGAACAATATGAACAGACAATTCTCAAAAGAAGGCATTTTTGCAGTCATCAAACATATGAAAAAAGCTCATCATCACTGGTCATTAGAGAAATGCAAATCAAACCACATTGAGATACCATTTCACACCAGTTAGAATTAGAATGGTGATCGTTACAAATATGGAGACAACAGATGCTGGAGAGGATGTGGAGAAATAGGAACACTTTTACACTGTTGATGGGAGTGTAAATTAGTTCAACCATAGTGGAAGACAGTGTGGTGATTCCTCAAGGATCTAGAAATAGAAATTCCATTTGACCCAGCAATTCCATTACTTGGTATGTACCCAAAGGATTATAGATTATTCTATTATTAAAAAAAACACACAAGTATGTTTATTACAGCACTGTTCACAATAGCAGAGACTTGGAACCAACCCAAATGCTCATCAATGTTAGACTGGATAAAGAAAATGTGGCTCATACACACCACAGAATGCATCCATAAAAAGTATGAGTTCATGTCCCTTGCAGGGACATGAATTAAGCTGAAAACCATCATTCTCAGCCAACTGACACAAGAAAAAAACCCAAACACTACATGTTCTTCTTCACAAGCAGATGTTGAATAATGAGAACACATGGACACAGGGAGCAGAAAATCACACACTGGGGCCTGTCAGGGGGTGGGGGGCTAGGGAAGGGATAGCAGGGGTGGGGAAATAAGGGAGGGATAGCATTAGGAAAAATACCTAAGGTAGATGACAGGGTGATGGATGCAGCAAACCACCATGGCACTTGTATACATATGTAACAAACCTGCACATTCTGCACATGTACCCCAGAACTTAAAGTATAATAATAAAAAAAGAATAAATAAATGAAGTCATATTATAGCCCTCTTCTGCTCAAAACTGTCCTCTAACTCTTCATCCCACTCTGAGCAAAGGTCAGATCCAACCCCAAGCCCCTCAAGCCCACCTGCTCTGGCCATACCTCTGACCTCATCTAGTTTCTCTCTTTCCAGCCCATCTGGCCTCCTTGCTCTTCTGGGAACACAGACAGCTCCCTGCCCTAGTGCATTTGCACCGGAGTTCCCCTGCCTGGAAAGAACTTCCCCAGACATCCTCATGTCCCTCACTCTTTCCTCCAAGGTCACTTTTGCAACGAGGCACACACTGACCACTTTTGTACAACAGCCACCTTCCCTGTCCTCACTGCCCACATCCTGGATCACCTGCCTTATAGCACTTCTCGCCTTCTAGAACTTTCTTTCTTTTTTTTTTCCTTATTCTGCTTATAGTGTATCTATTGTCTGCCTCTTCCCACTAAAGCACATGCTCCACAAGGTAAGAAATTTTTCTGATTTTACTTCAGTGGTGTTCTGTTTCCCAGATGGAGAATCATTCTGTCCTATGTCTGGTTGACACCAAAGGTCAGTTGAATGAATGATCACTGTAGAGCACCTCCTATTCTAAGGACAGTATCTTCATTAACACAGACTCAGGCCAAGTGCTGTTTTGTGGCAGCTACACTCCTCCCTTCTGCCATACCCTCCGTCTCCAAACCCACCCCCCTGCCACCCGCACGACACACACACCACGCACACAATTGCAGCACACAATCACATTTCAGCTCGGTTCTCTCTTCAGAAAAGAACAGTCCTTGATGATGGGTCCAATTTCACAAATAAATGTAAGTCTAAATTAGACTCTGCTTTATAGATTCATAAGTTGGGGTTGGAGCCAACACCAAGATCACTAGAACCAGGGCAAAAAGAGAGGGCAGGAGAGCAGAGCAGAAGAGGAGCCCTAGAAGGATGGCAGGAGTTGAATAGGTCTGAAAATGTGTCTCTTTATAGCACAGAGACTTCCGTGTGCAGGAGCCACCCTGGGAGATGTGTGAGCCTCTGTGGTCACAGCTCCTGTGGGACAAGTTTCCACTGAAGGGACAAGGACAGTGGAGAAGTGAAGCTGACCCAGCTGAGGACTGACCACATAAAGCCCATGATGGACTCAGCAGCAGCTGGACACAGGCCCCGCCCACACTCGGCTCCTCACAGCCTTCTCCATCCCCACCTGCAACAGGCTCAGCACAGGGAACATGCAGATTCTGGAAGGTTCTCAGGTCTTTATTTTCTCTCTCAAATTTTAAGAATTGACTTAATTAACTCATCAACCTCTCATGGCAAATATTTGAGAAAACAAATTCATACTCAGATTTTCATTTTCAGTAAGAAAGAGGTTGCAGCTCAGTGCTGCAGGAAGTTGAGACACAGATGGAGACACCCAGCCCCTCTCTGGAAGAGGAGAGATGACTGGGGAGGGAACACAGGTCAGCGTGGGCAGGGGTCATGGTGGACACGGGGTGGGCTGTCTTTCCACCTCCTCACATTGTGCTAACAGGGACGCAGACACATTCAGATGCTTTTGCAGAAAGAGGTGCCAGAGGCTCTTGAAGTCACAAAAGGGAGGGAGGAAGAAATCCTGCGTCTCAGTCCCATACATGGCAGCCGTCTCAGGCTACAGAAAACAACAGGTGTGGTCAATTCAGGTCAGTCATGGTAAGTGATGACACTCTGAACAGTCCACCACACATTTGAAATGTCCCAATCAAAGACTCCCAAGTACCTAGTCTTTTCCCCTTGGCCACACCCCCCAGAATCTTACCTTAACAAGTTGTGAGAGACACATCAGAGCCCTGGGCACTGTCCCTGCCTGAGGTAAAACAAAACAGGACCTGGTCAGAGCCTGCAGGAGATGTGGGCCAGGAGGGATTATGGGGTGGTGAGCTCCTCCACACTCCCACCCCCCACTTACATGCAGCCTGAGAGTAGCTCCCTCCTTTTATGCTAGTGGGAAGAAAATGTCCTGTGAGGGGACAGGGAGGAGGCAGGCTTTTAGAGAAGCCTCCTAAACTTGGAGGTGTCGGGGTCCGGCATGTCTGCCGGGGGACTACCGACCTGCGGTAGTCCCTGACCTCCAACGTAGATGTCTCGTTCAACCTGAGAGAGAGAGTGCACGGAAGAGAAAATATAGAAAAGCAGAGTCTGGAGGGCTGTGTGAAATTATGGTCAAAACGCAGCAAATTTATTTTGTGGGTTACAGCTTTTACACCTTTTTTCTTGTTTACATTTACTTTATCTCAGTAGAAAGGGGTAAACAGAAAGGAATAGAAACTCCATAAAAAATAGTTATCAGCGGCTTGTGATACTGCTCAGAAAGCAGTTTAAGGGGGCTTGTGGTAGTAGTTTACATTTCAAAGATTTTACATTTCTAAGATACAATGGCACCCTTAAGGTGGCTGGTTAAACTTGTTTTTCACCAGGAGCTAAAACAAAGGCTTAGCTCCAGGGAAAATATGGGCAGAGGTCTCTGCTCCTCTTAGGCATCTCAATGCAGTAAGTTTATTGCTTACACAGAGACTGATGGGGACATGGAAGCAGACAGCACAATGTCCTCATAAACTGCAGACCTTTGCTTTGCATTCTGTTGTTGCTTCAGTGACTCAGCTCGAGGCCCTTTGTCTCACTCGACAGCCCTCGAGGTGGGGAAATGCAGACAGGTCCAGCAGCCAAACTGGGGTGAGTCAACTAGCTGTCTTGAGCCCTTGGCGCGAACACTACATGGAGGCTCCAAGAAACTTTCCTCCAAGAAAAGTTTCTAGCCACAGTGACTGCAGACCCAGAGCAGAATCAGGAAACATGAGGACAGCAGGTGTGGGTCCTGGACCAACCACCCTCCTAAGGTCTGTCCTCAGCAGGGACCTTCCCCTGACTCATGAATGCTGGAATCAAGACCCCACACCACAATCATCAAGGTGATACATCTGTCCTTCATTGTCACATGTGCTTCACAAAATACTAAGTACTAGCACAGAGGCCCCAGGCTGGTCGGTCCCATGTGTGGATGGTGCTTCCCAGTAATGAGGCAGGGGGCACTTCTACCTGGGGCTTGAAAGCTCCAGTGGGACAAACCCAGATCCCATCCTTTCCCTACATGAGCTCTTCCTCCTCCACATCACAGCAGTGACCATAGCTCTGAGGACTACAGCTCCAAGGAATCCAGGCCAGCAACGATGCCCACGATGGGGATGGTGGGCTGGGAAGATGGCTCTGGGAAAGGAGGGGAAAGTGAGGGGCCCTGACCCCAGGCCTCAGCCCTGACCCTGCTGAAGGGCTCCAGATGGGCTCCTGCTTTCCTGAGAAGAGACATGACACCACCATCCCCCTCCTTACTCTGTCCCTCTTCTTACCCCACCTCAGGGTGAGGGGCTCCAACAGCCCCTCATGTTGCATATGGTACGTGTATCTCTGCTCTTCTCCAGAAGGCACCACCACAACACCCCACTTCTAGAAGGTTCTGTCCCCTGCTGGCCTGGTCTCCACAAGCTCTATGTTCTGAGTTTGGTCCTCCCCCCGGCTGCCAGGTCAATGTGATCTCTGCAGGGTAGAAGCCCAGGGCCCAGCACCTCAGGGTGGCCTTGTGGATCACATGTGTTTCTGGGGGTCTGACGGGAAGAGTCAGAAAATTCAGGCACTTTGCATCTCTCATGGGCCACCCCAGCAGCTCCCATGTGACCGTCCTGAGAATGGGCAGGACACGTGGAGTGAGAAGGGAGCACAGAACCCAGACACCAGCCTGGACACAGGCACCTGGGATAATCTCCTATTCCTTGGAAAGTTCTAGTCTCTGAGGGTGGAACAGCGACTTCTGGTCCTGACCTGAGTGGAGGCCAAGGGACTCAGAAAAGCTGGAATCAGACCTTCACACATTGAATGTGAGGCAGAGAACAAGGCCTGAGAGTAAAATCTCGGCGCCCAAGGCCGCTGCAAATGTCAAAGGGGACCTCTAATCAGTATTCCAGGTACTGTCTTCGCCTCCATTTCCTCAGAGGCATCATCCCTTAATGATCCTAGAGAGTAGAGGGGCCCTCGAGGAACTCAGGAAAACTCATGTCATTCTCCATTCAAGGGGGCAATTATTCTAGCGCTGATCCCATTTTCCTTCGATCCTTGCCATCCTGGGAGATCTACAGGAGATGGGGAAGGCTCCCCACTGCCCCTGGTACGTGCGCGCTGCAGGGTCTCCTTCCCGTTCGCCAGGTATCTGCGGAGCCACTTCAGGTATTTGCCCTCCAGGTAGGCCCTGAGCCCCCTCCGCCCCATGGGCGGCCTCCAACTTGCGCTGGATAATCTGAACAGCCACGTCAGCAGCTGTCCAAGAGAGCAGGTTCTCCTTCAGGCGATGTAATCCTTGCCATCATAGGCAAGTTGTTAATACCCGCGGAGGAGGCGCCCATCAGGCCCCGGGTCGCAGTCACAGCTCATCCGGAAGGTGTGAGACCCTGGCCCCGCCCCCGCGGTCAGCACAGCCCACCAAGCCCCGCCCCCGCCCAGACCAACCCTCAGGATTTGGGCCTAAATTGAAAAGGAAACCGGGTAAAGGCGTCTGGGGCTTTCCCGGGTCGAGCATCTGCGTGGGTCCCGCAGCCTCGGTGGATCTCAAACTCGGGGCGACGTGGGCCGTGCGTGGGGGATGAGGAGGGCCGTGATCTGATCTGCTCCCAGGGCCGGGGTCACTACCGGCCTCGCTCTGGGGTGTGGTAGCAGAGCAGGGTCCGCAGTTCCCTCGGTGAGTCTGTGCGCTGGCCTTGAGAGTCAGTGTCTCCGGGTCCCAAGAATCCGGCCTTTCCTGTTCCATCCACGGCGCCCGCGGCTCCCATCTCGGACTCGCCGCGTCGCTGTGGAACCGCACGAACTGCGTGTGGTCCACGTAGCCCACCGAGATGAAGCAGGGCTCCCCGCTGCCGGCTGGGACTCGGCGGTGTAGAAATACCTCACGGATTGGGAGCCTGGAGGTGAGGAGGGGCTGAGACCCGCCGGACCCTCCTCCCGCTCGGCTCCTGGGTCCTGCGCCCCCGCCAGGCGGGCCCCTTGCTCCTTCCCCAGAGACAGTTTCCCTCCGGACCCTGCACTCACCCGCCCAGGTCTGGATCAGGGCCAGGGCCCCCCAGAGAGGAAGGACGGAGGGGTTCAGTGGCGATGGAGGAGACCCCTTCCTCAGTGTCAGGAGAATCTGAGTCCCAGTGGGTGCGTGAGAACTTTAGAACCGGGACCGCGGCGACGCTGATTGGACTTCTCTAGAAAACCAATACCCAATGGGAGTGGTAACTGGAGATACTCGTGAGTATGCGGAAGGACCCCACACAGCTTGGGAGAAGAAGTGAAATTCAGGGGAGTGGGGAATCGCCAACGAGGCACTTCCCCAATGCAGACACGGCCCCTTGGTGTCCCGAGACCCTGAGATCAAAGGCCGGGGACCAGGGACTTTTCCTGATTCCCTCTTCTCCTACACCAAGCCTCTTTCTCACACTGTCTGCCTGAGTCCTGGCCAAGGTCTGTCTGTGGAAACCGGGGAGAGACTCCCAGGCTGTGGCCAGGCCCCTTCCCCTTCACTTCTCGTCCTGGAATCTCCGTCCCTGAACTGGACTCCCTGCCTCCCACTCCTTATCTCTCCCCTTGGACTCTTGTACGAGCAAACTCCCCACGGGGAACTTGATGCCAGTGAGTGAGCTGGTCCTGGGAGTGGCGGTGTAGAGACAGAAGTTTTCTCTTTAAACCTGGTGAAGCTTTGTCTGGAGTCACCAGATAGAGATTCTCCTAGAGACCAGCTGTGGACCTTAATCCTTTGATAAAAGCTTTCCCCATTTTCTCCTTTGCTGTTGAAAGGGAAAATACTACTTCTATTCTGGATAACTTTTAACTAATCATCTTAAAACTCCAGTATGGAATATTTATCCATCAAGGAAAAATTGTGTTAAGTGCTTTTTATAAACTGATTCTTAAATATACGAGGTGGTTCAAAGCTGGCATTAAATGCTATCTTTGTCCTTACAATTGTTTATTGTTTAGATTATTATTTAGATTCTGGTGGAACTTTTTTGAGCCATTATAAAAATAGCAGAAATAACTGAAAATAGTTGCTTAGGCTCATTCTACTGGTCATTTCAGTAAAGAATAATTGATCCAGAAATACCCCTGTGGGTATTTAAGTATATAAAGTTTTATTATGATGAAAGAACAGTTTTCATTGGGAAGAGATTTTAAATTTGCATTTTCTTGTCTTTTTTTTTCTGTAGGAAGGAACTTGAAACCTTCAAATATAATGTTGTGTTAATTCTTCACTTTAAAGTAGTTGAGAGTTCATTGTTGTCAGATGTTCTCTTCTTGATGATGATGAAAGAACTCATTTTAAAAATCAATTTACATAAAAATGTAAAACTTTGCTTAGTATTGTTTTTGTAGGTTTTGTTTAATTTGTTTTGTGGTTTTGATGTTCCCTCTAGCACTTGTACCCAGTGAGAGTTTCGGCTAATTATCTTTATAAGTGTTAGGAAGGTGCAGTGCTAACTTTGAGGTTGTTGAGAATCACAGTTTAAGAAGATTCTAGTTTCTCTTTTGCAGTCTGGGCCTCGTGGAAAGGGAGTGGTAACAAAGATCAAAGGGTGCCTCTGTAATTGACATTACAGTCACTCTTGAGAGGTTTTCAGTGCTGGGTCTGGCTCTGCTGCTGTGTTATGATTTTGGATGAGCCTCTTACCTTTTCCAGCACAGTTTCTCTCTCCATTCGTAAAATTAGAGGCTCAGATTAATTATATTCTGAGATTCCAAAAGCACCCAGCATTACTTTTACTTTCAGGGAATGTTTGAAGGAGGGATGCTAGAGAATAATTCTTGGTCATTTTGACTCTTACTGGTCATGGAGAAACACTAGTGAAAAACACAAACTTTCCAGTAGCTCAAGGTCCTTCCAGTTTGCTATTTTTCAATTATTCACGAGCAATTAAGTAAGTAGAAATCCTGTTCTACAGAGACTCATTTCAATAACTGAAAAAAACTCTTTGAATCACTTAATAAATCACTTCTGATTTAGTTGTTTTATGTTTATTGTACTTCACATATAAACCAGCATTATCCTTTAGATTTACTGAATGATTAAAGATTTTCAAGAGTATCATTTGTGGTTGAATTATTTATTTGTCTGAT